TTTGGGTGGATGTGGCATTTGCGACATTTGTCATTAGTTACTGTAGGATCTTTTATTATGTATTTCCTGTAGTTTTTTGTGTTTGTGATTTGGTCTTGAATAGCTATTATAAATCCTTCGGTTTACGGAAATAAGTTGCCTATTTTCAGCCATTTATTTGAAGCTAACTTATTTATGTGTGATTGCTCCAAGTCATGACGGTGTCGACCGTGGAGTACTTTCGTCTTCCAATCCTCAATTTTTTGTGTCTGCTGGTTATCAATGGTAGTGTTTTGGGTTTCTATTTGATTGCTAAGGTTAAGTGGAGTGTAGTTAATATCATTTGTTACTATGGCTTTATGTATATTACTAGTGTGGGACTTTGTGTAGAAGAACGATTTTAGTCGTTCAACTTGTTTCTGCCTTAGGTGCTGAATATCTATTAGACCTCTCCCTCCAAGTTCCCGTTTTATGGTTAATCTTTCTATGGCGGACTTAGGGTGCAGGTTGTTATGTTTCGTAAGTGTTGTTCGTGTAGTACGTTCTAATTGTTCTGTGTCAGTTTTGGACCATTTTATAACCCCGAATGAGTACGTTAATACGGAGATGGTGAAGGTGTTTATGGCTTTGATGAGATGTTTACCTGAAAGCTGCTTTTTACAAACGGCGTTAAGTCTTCTCTTGTACTTCGTAGTTAGTGTACTTTTTATTCGTACGTGGTCAAGACCTTTAAGTTGCACATACCCTAAATATTTATACAAATCAGTCGGTTCCATTGCTGTAATAGCATCCGTGTCATTCACTACATAGTCGCCGGGCCTTACTTTGCCTCTTACGGTGTGAAGTGTTTTACATTTATCCAAACCAAATTGCATATTAATATTGTTACTAAATTCTGCTGTAATATCTACTAATTTCTTCATATCTTTTTCTGTTTTCGCGTATAATTTGATGTCGTCCATGTATATAAGATGCGATATTGTTGTTTCGTCTGTATTGTTGTTTAGACTATTTATCCTGCCTTACAGCTCTGCAGCAAATGAGACAGAGGATTTAGGGCGGGACAGAACCACAGTGGGCTTAGAGAGTCGCCTTGGTAGATGCCTTTTTTGATGGACATATGTCGGGTTGTGATAGTATTTTTGTCACAATTTATTTGTAGTGTTGTTTTCCATTGTAACATTATACGGCGTAAGAAATCTATTATTTTCGGGTTTCTTCTATAAATCTCTAATATTTGTAACAACCAAGAATGAGGAACACTGTCAAAAGCTTTTTTATAATCAATATAGGTGCAATGCAAATTTCTGTTTTTGGAGGTGGCATGTTTATGAATAGTGGAATCAATAATCAGCTGTTCTTTGCACTCCATGTGGCCCTGTCTACATCCTTTCTGTTCTTCCGCTATTATATTGTGATGTTCGATGTGTGAGTGAATTTTCTTTGTAATTGCAGATGTCAATATTTTGTAAATTGTGGGTACACATGTAATTGGTCGGAATTGGGAAGGCTGAGGTGAATTTTTGGTTTTAGGTAGCATGTAAGTAATTCCTGTTGCAATAAATTCGGGCGCATTCTGTTGTCCTACTATAATATCTGTTAAATTTTTTGCTATAGATTTGTGTAATTAGGTTAACTTTTTGTACCAGAAATTATGTATTTTGTCTATACCAGGCGATTTCCAATTATGTAATCTAGCTGTAATATCTGACTCTGTTACCTCTGCGAATTCCATCTCGTCAATATCTCTCCATTTTGCTTCTTCTTCCACTATCCAAGATGCTTTGTCTTTGTGTTGTTTTTGCTCTTCCCAAATACTAGCCCAATATGCTTCTAGTTCTTCTTTTGTAGGTAGGTTGGATGTGTTTGTGGTATGTTCATCAATTGTGTCTGTTTGTGATTTTTGTAGGTTCCTATAAAACATTTTTTCGTTTGTTGCAAATGTGGTGTTATCTTTTTTGCGTTGTAGTGCCTTTTTGTTCCTTTTGAGCCTGTGAACTTTGAGTGCTAGTTTTTGTTTTAAGGTGTTTAAAAATTCTTCCGGTCTTGTTTTACTTTTTTCGTGTCTGGTATGCGTGGAATTGTTCCTAAATATGACCTCAACTTTTTTTACTAGTTTATTAGATCTACAACCGTTAATATATTGAGTGAGTCTGCCTATGTTTGCCCGTATGTTTTCAATATCTTTTTCTAGTCTCTGTTGCCACGCTGGTTCTATATTTTGTCTTGTTCTTGTCGTTCTTATGTGGTCTGTGATCTTAAAGTTCATTTCTTCAGATATTACTACCGCTGTGCAATATATAAGTAAATGTATGTCTATGAGTTGTGTGTCATCAGATATATATATCGTGTGAGTATAGTTTCATTAAATAAATTTATTAGACGAAATAGTTTAGGCGTGTATTTAAGTTTGGGTAATCTTGGTCGCACTCCTGGGTCCATCCCAGAGTTTGTGTTATTGTTGTTCTAAATTTCTCATTAATTTCTTGAATATATAAGTGTTGTTAAGTGTTGATCTGGAACAACTATGGTCTCAATGTCATTTTCTAGTGTTAGTATTATCGATTCGGTTTGTGTGGATGTGTGTGATCTTTGTATATAGGCTTGTGAATGGTTGTATGGCTGAGGTTGTGCATAAATGAGTTGTGATTGGTTAAGCGATTGTGGTTGTACATGATGACTATTTTCATTTGTGCTTTGTTTGGTATTATTAGTATCTCCATAATTATTCACCACTTCTTCTTCCAGTAATTGTATTCGTACTTCTTCTTTTAATTGATGTATTTCTTCTTGATATAGAAGTTTATTCCTAACTATGGTTCCTCTTTGGTCTGAGATTCTTTGTTCTGAAACGGTAATTTCTGGATATTGTCGAGTGAAAAGTGCATGTAATTGTTGTCTATAGGCGGTCATATCGGTCTCTAATTTAGTAATATATAGATAAGTTCGCATGATAAATAGATTTACTTCTTTACTCCATTTCATGCGAACTCTTGCTTTTCCAGCCTTGGTGGACGCAGGTAAGACGGTAGATACCCCCCGCGCAGCATTCAAAGTGGAAGTGGGTGGAACTGTATTTAAACTAATGATGGGGGGTGATGAAAGTATTGGTAACGATGGTATGGATGGTCTTGAGGGTGTGTATGATACTGTGCTAGGACTATACTGTTCTACAGGGGTGTCCGTCCTGTCCGTCGGTCGATCACCATCGTCAATGATTTCGGCTGTAGCATCTTTGTCGGTGGGAGCCCGCCTGTTCAACTCCTTACCGCTGACGGTTCGCATGCTGAGACACCCAGCGTCAGCTCCAGGTGCGCCCCGGCGATCGCCCCCAGGCAGCGGTCCTATACGTTTACTTTTAGAACGTGTCTCCATTTTTTATGGATTTCCAGAGCCACGTTAGCCACGCCAGTATTTTCTCATTCGTGTGTCCGCTCCCCACGTGATTAGATGGTCAATCAGGACGTGTGGGTGTTTAGGGGGCTTATTATTATGTGGTATCTATAAAGTTTTCTCATCTGGTTGGGAAATATAAATATATAATTGTAAATAATCATGGTAAACGTACATAAATATCAATAAAATAAAATAAATACATAAAAAATACATAAATATATAAAAACCCAACCAGATGGAAGCCCTCGGCAGGGGAGACCAAACGGCCGAGGGTTAGGGGGAAAGGGAAAGAAACTGGCGGACGATGCGGGCGGTATCGAGTAGCACCGCCTTCTGCATTTGAGCTTGGAGCGGTCCGTCACGGAGTTCCAATCGCCTCAGATGACCCGAGAGGCTGATTGGAATTAACCCATTCGCAGAGATGACTACAGGTATAATTTCGGCCGGCAGTCCACCCCACATGTCGGTCACCTCGTGAGCCAGATCCAGATATTTTGTCAGCTTATCTGTTTCGGCTTTCACGAGGTTCTCGTCATAAGGAATGGTAATGTCGACCAAAAATATCCTTGACTGTGCCCGGTCCATCAGCACAATATCAGGCTTATTCGCAAGAATAGTCCTGTCTGTGATGATGGCCCGGTCCCAGTAGAGCCTGGCGCGGTCATTTTCGAGTACGGCTTCCGGCAAGTACTTATAATACGGCAGTTTCCGATCCACGAGATCGTATTTCAGAGCGAGTTCCTGGTGTAGAATCCTGGCTACTAAGTTGTGTCTGTGCAAATACTCAGAGTTAGAAATTGCCGAACAACCGGAGATGACATGCCTAAGTGACTCACCGGGATGGCGACAAGCTCGACAGACGTCGACGGTGCCATCCTTTAGGATGTATCTCCAATAATTGTTGGTCTTAATAACCTGGTCCTGTATCGCACAGACAAAACCCTCGGTTTCCCCAAAGAGGTCACCGAAAGTCAGGTCAGTGGAGGGAGGCGACTGTGTCTACGAAAGGCTCGTGTAGAGCCTTGTAGAACCTCCCGTGAAGCTCCTTCTCCTTCCATACGGTCTCCCGGTCGGAAATGCTCTGTACTGCCGGGTCCCGCCATTGCTCGTTGGCTAAGGATAGAGGGGTAAGTCCTTTATCACAAGAAATAACGTCCCTATAGTATGGATCATCCGCTCTCGTCAGAAAGTAATTACGGAGGCTGCACACTTAGCGATTATGCATGGTAAGCGCGCTTAAATATATATTATTATTATTATTATACAAAATATTTTACGCTAGGGATTGACTCAACTATATCAAAATTAATGTCGATATTTATCTTGTTTGTTTATATTTAATCTATAGACGTGCCCACACAACAAGAAAATAAATTCTCGGTTTGCGTTCTATAAATGTAATTTTATTTTGCCGTTTGTCAAACAGATTCCCTCGGGATTTTATAATTAGAAAAAATCGTTAAGGTCAATTGAACGGGTTTTTGGGAATCCAAAAACAAACTCAACAATTTGCAGCAAACATTTACTTGAAAAGTAGAATAAAACAATTTTATCTAAAGGAGCCATTTCTACATTATTTGTACCAGTAAGTATAATTGTTACAGTAATAAGACATCAAAAATTTAACTTTCAAAACTTTAATTAAAATAGAAACAGATTTTTATACATTATAAAAGTGTAGTACATTAAAGATAAAAAAATCTTGAGATTATTTTCTTTAAGCCATTATGAACCCAACTAAGTATCTTACTTAACCGACCGCTGCGTCTCACTGTCACACTCGCACGGTATTCATAGCATCACTCTATTTTTCCTAAAGGGTTGCGCGGAACCTCGTATTGTATTCCCAAGTCACAATGATAAAACTTTTGGAGTAGTTAGATATAATATATTTAGTAATGCTCTTGAAGCGCTACTAGATGCTCACGCATGAGACGTGCGGTTCAATGTGCCAGGATAGTATAATTTCCATAGTATTTGATACTCACAACGCCCGATGCCCGATTTAAGCTTGATGGCCGGCGACATTATGCTGAGGGTTTAAATGAATGCGTGGTTTATCGCCTACAGCGTTACTCGTAGAGAAGAGGAACTCGTGGTTAAGTAATAGCTGCGCAGTTCAATAGATAAAGTTGCACTTGCCGTGGTCATTCCATGAATGAGTGACCATTTTTTTAACATACCGAGATTGAGAGAATATATAGTGCATATGGATGCAAATGCACTCTCTATTCTCACAGGATACAGATCCTCAGACACTTGGTGCACTTTACTGTGTTAAAATCATTATGTTTTTAAAATTTATGTAGCTAAAATGATAAAAGTTTATTATTACTTTATACCTTTTAGGGACAGATGAAAGAATATAAACATGAAGCATGATGAAGCCTCATAAACATATTGGCCTTTAAACAGAGCAATCTCATTTAACTGATTCCTACAAGTTTCCTTACTTAAATTATTAAGTTTACATTCATATTTAAGTCAAGTATTAAAATAAACTTCTATACTTATATAATTCTTAATTACTAAATGTTTTCAATTATCAAAATTAATACTTATATGAAAAATAAAGCAGCCATTATGTACTCCATGCTCCTTTTTTATTTCCCCATCAAAACATTTTATGAAATATATAAAATATAAATAGGTAACTTAGTTAAGTATCTACCTATTTATATTAAAAATACGTTAAAAAAGAAAATCCGGGGAAACTGTCATGGCAATAAATATTTCTCTCTATAAATCATAACTCTAAAAAACACAATTTCTGATCTGATTCTTGGGGAGTTTTGAGATACCTGGGATTTTTTAAATTAAAATCCAAAACAAAGGAAAGGTAGGTTAAGCTTATTCACAGGAACATGTTATATAAATATTTTTGAAGTTATACTTCTTTTAGGGTGTTTGGAAAAAATAATGAGAATGAATTTTACGATACGCGTACACACCGACACCTAAAAACGACACCATTAAGTTGTTATGATGCGCGCACACACTGACACCACAAAGCGACAACTTCAGTGGGTAACTGTCTCTCAAGTTTTCGTGGGAACTGATAACTATATTTAAAGTAGTTATTATTAGTTATTTTTGTTTTGTTACGCTATAGAAGTATAACTGCCTACGTGCGTACATAAGTACACACACACGTTTTTTTAATTATTTTAGAACTATCATGGTAAAAATTCCGTAAATTTTTGAAGTTATTCAATTTCGTGCACTAACTATATTTTTTAATCTTTTTACCGCTTCCTTAACGATCATTTTTCGATAGTCCTTGTATGTAAAATGTACATCACTAGCTAACGCACACAATAACAAATCAAAATTAGTCACGCCTTTTCGGATTGTCAGGTCGTCTATATGGTATACGCCAATATATTCTAAGTCTATGGTACACTGCGACATATAATTGAAACAAGGGTAGGGAAAAAAGTTGACTTGTAATTATTTTATATTTTGCTTTGTTTGAAAGATACTAACTTAAATTACTGATAAAGAAATATACCCGTTGTAATGAAATATAGATTAACTTCATAATTCTTTACATTTACGTAAAAGGTAATTTTAAATGGTGTGAGTACGCTTGTACAAAGTTATTACGGAATGATAATGTGAAACGTCAAAAGGTATTTCATAGATTGATTTACTTGGCTTTAAAACAATCGAAGATAATTTGTTTGCGTCGCAGGTACAGCTAGGTAGTCGCTGTACTAAAATATTTAAGTGCAGCGTAAATTATCTTAATGAATTTCAGCAAATTAAAATGGTGTATTAGGAAACTGGTGGAAATCCGTACATTTCTTCACAAGTCTTATTTCGCCATTTATTAGAGTGGTCGTAATGTTCCCATTCACGAATGGCATTGTATAGGTTTGATCCAGGACTAGCCGTTTCAATTAAATCCTTGGCGCCAAGTACAGAATAGTCCATGTCCAGAAAACCACGTTTAACACCTTCTTCAAGGAGCATCTTAGCTCTCTTGATTTGTAGTTCCGTTACGCGAGAATGCGCTGTCAATTCTTCACGATAGTCCCCTGTTGATAAGAAAAAAATAGATGTTAATTTTAATAGCATCATGTCCGCTTTGTGCTACTTGCTGAACACAGGCGTTCCTCATAGATTGCCACAAATAAATGTCATAGGCACTTAGATTTCTTTGAGCTTTTTGTATAATAAATGCGGTGCACATACGTCTATCGGCAGACGTAAATGTTACATGATATGTCTTTAGACAAGTTCAAAGCCACATAATTATTTAAGTGAGGAAGCAACTATTTATATATCTGTATTGCAATCTTCTGGGGGCACTGAAAACGATCTTGAAACTCTAGCTAGAAATGAGGTTTGGATAAGAGAACGAGGGGGATGTAGCGATGACTTTATTATAAGTGATCACGCCAACTAAACGTTGTGTTATAATTAGCCTCTTACCGTTTTCACCTTTGCGATCACTGAGGACATCACTAAAAATCGACATTTTGTCTTCATAATAAAAGTAATCTTAACCTCGACCAGGTACACCTTCTGTGTGGCCAATTTCGAAAGAGTGTTAATGTGTCCCTCGGTAAAGTCCATCCCCGAAAGGGGGTGAAACGAGACCATAAATTAACGAAAAATCAAATAGAAAAAAATATTTTACTTTTATTGACTAATTAAGATTTTTATATCTTATGTAAAACTCTATGTACAATAATTTAAAATTAAAAAATTTCTACAACCGACTTCAATTTACATTATTAAGAATAACTCAAAAACTTTTGGTCAGTCCTTGATCAAATTTATATGGAACCACATGAGACGCACCAGCTTTCAAATAAAACAAAAAAATCATCGAAATCGGTTCATACAGAAAAAAGTTATGAGGTAACATACATAAAAAAAAACATACAGTCGAATTCAGTACCGTCTCCTTTTTGAAGTCGGTAGTAAAAATAACGATTTCTTCTAAAGTAGTGGGTCGATTACTTTAAAATAAAGACTTTATTATGGTACGTATTTGTCGGTAAGGATAAAATAACAACAATTAGCTCGCACAAAAGTGGCATCATGACTTTAACTTTGCTTTTTATGAAAAAAAAAAAAACATTTTTATGACTTTTTACAATGATCTCTAATTTTCTCAAAGTTATGCCCCCAATACCAGGATTTTTTTTTGATTTATTATTATTCTCTACCATATTGCCTTTCAAATAAATCTACGCTGTAACCTCAAGACACACTGGCTAAGAGGTTAACATTTCACCATTAAAAGTCAGATTTGATTACAAGTTCTAATCAAGTCACAAGTAGTTACATATTTTTTTACAGTTCTTATAACTAATGCATCAAATGCTCATAATGGTCCCCTCGTTGCTGGAGGCACATTGCCGCACGAAGAGCAATTTGGTTCGTAGCTCTACGCACTATACCTGTGTCACTTTTTATCTCATTTGCACATTAAAAAATTCAATCTTGTGATTCGACCCCGGTGTTTACCGTGATTCTGTAGACTTTTTGTTTCATGGCGCCCCACAAAAAGTAGTTGAGAGGTGTCAGATAAGGTAAACGTGCTAGGGCTGGCGTGCTCCTTCCCGGTCAATCCATATGTTTGCATAGTTTTCGTTTAAAAAACTTCGCATATTTCGCCCGTAATGAGCAGGACCATGCTTGCACCATGTGGCCAGCAAAAGTTCTTCGAGCAGAAATGGCAGTTCGTCTCTTGATAAAGTTAAAAAACAAATTAAAACGTCATCGATTACAGCTGCCTAAATTTATTAAGAACTGCACTTGAAATTTAGATATCCTCTTTAAGTGTGGATTTTCATAATGCCATTCATGTAAATTCCTGCAATTTGTGATTCTATTCCGAGTGAATTTTGCTTCATCCATCCATAAAATAATTAAAAAAAATTGTGGATCGTTTTTAATATTTCTTTGAATCCACACAGACAGGATGGACCTTGGACGATTGTCTACATTTTCATGCAAGTGCTGGTATGGATCCAATCCCTCCTTTTTAAAAATTCGCCATATCGATATCTTTGATAAACCGTAACGCAAAGTCAAGCGTCTAATGCTGGTTGCAGGATCAGCAAACAAATCGTTTAAAACTGCCTCTTCTATTGAATTGTCAATAATTACAGCTTGTTGTTCATGGTGGTTTTGCACATTAGCGCAATGAACATCGATCTTGGATTACCAAGACCGATGTTGTATAGCTTCCAGATAATTTTTTGAAAATTTTGTGCTCACGTCATAAGTCTTCCCCGAAATGCGTTGATGTATGCAGAACGAGCGACTGATGTGCGTCCACGTAACAATCCATAATAATAATAATAAATGTCAACGATTTCTCGCGGAGAGAACTTGGTCAATCGCGGCATCTCAACAATTCACAACAAAGTAGAGTCAAAAACGTAACAAATAAGTCAATTACAGAGCAATACCAAAATAGCGTGACAATACCTTAATTCACAGGTCAGTAGGAGTGGAAAAAGGTAGCAGCAGCGAGAATATCGGAGCGACTGGCTACCCCACAGTATATCCCATGGTAAGTGGTATTTCGGACCCCTCCCTAGTCTCCATCTTCCTACCCTAGGCTACAACACACAAAAGGACACGTCCCGTTAAACCAATGTTGTAACATTGTTAAAAAAAACCGGCCAAGTGCGAGTCGGAATCGCGCACCGAGGGTTCCGAACAAATCCGTAGGTATATAAGTTTAAAATTATTAAAAATATTTTTATTATATGATGCAACTAAAAATTTATGCTTTTCGTAATTTTTCCTTTATCTGTCCTATAATACGTTGCTTCGTACTGAATTTTAATACTCTGAGCTCACGGGAAGTACCCTGTAGGTTTTGATTCCCTTGCGAATGTCAAAAATTTGCGGCATAAACGGCTGTATCTTTTGATTGCGTTGGCTTAGAAGTTTAATAAAATTACATAGTAAGTAAATTCACAGCTCCAAGGGAGGGTATTTCATATAAATTTCAGCTTGATACCTCCACGCGTTCCTGAGAAAAAAGGGTCTTGACAGACAGACAGACAGACGGACAACAAAGTAATCCTATAAGGGTTCCGTTTTTCCTTTTGAGGTACGGAACGCTAAAAAGGGTGTCTACCCGAATGGTGACGTCAATTTTAAAAACTCTTAGTCAGCGTGTTTTTTACAGCGTAGATTTTTTTATTTCAAAGGCAATATGGTAAGGAATAATAATAAATCATAAAATTACCTGATAATGTGGCATAATTTTGAGAAAATTAGAGATCATTGAAAAAAAAAACTTGGATTTTTTAAACAAAAAGCAAAGTTAAATACATGATGCCACTTTTTTGCGAACTAATGTAATACACGACTTTTACTGCCACTAGGGCGGCGCCACTTAAAAGTGAGGTATAATATTTGACAGATTTCGCTGCGGGGAAGTTAGTTTGTTCGGAAAAGGTAAAAGTTAATGCTTCTTTCTGTACTATTAGTTATAATTTATATTAATTAGATTAAAAATAACTATGCCAAATCACAGTATAATACAATAATATCATGTAATAACAACAAGAATTTAATAAACAAAACGATTGAACTGTAGTTTACGCGCACGTCATCGTTAACACGGAACTGCCTCAAAAACTAAAATTAATAATCAATACCGCCAAAACAAATGCGCACGAGGCATTCGTAACGTCCTTGAAGCACTTTGATCATTTCCGCAGACCGTTAAACCGTTACGATATTGCCAAAGTTTATTTTATTTATAAGATTAGTTATCCCTACGACTAGTCTTCATATGGAATTTAGACGTTATGGTTGTCATTTTTAATACAATTACATAATCAATTGTACCCTGACGCAACAAGCAGTTCTTTACTACAAAAATGATATTGAGATTAGCAAACGTACCTAATTGAGTACTCAGTACTCACTGACACAATTGTAAACACTATTTCATCGTTATCTTTGATTTGGTATAAGAAAATAGAAATGAAATGGTACTGAATAATTTAATAGTTAAAATCAATTGTAATTATGATCGACAGATCAGATCTTAGATCTCAGATCAAAATTAATTTAAAAAATAATACTTTTACTTTATTTTAATTGACTTTCCGTATTTAATCCGACAAATACTTTGAATTTAAAAAGAGGTACGTCAAAATTATTAAAAATTACTTGAGAGTTCTATAGTGATTTCCGCCTCTAATTCGTATGTCGCCGGCAAACAAATCTTAGTAGGTAAATTTCGGTGCAACATGGCAGCGTTGCGAACACCAATTTGTCAAATTATTTGAAAATTCATGTCAGATTCCCCAATTTAAGGACAAAACTTCAACAAATTCCCCTCAATTTTATTTTAAGAAATGAAACAATTTTCAACTAATTTTATAATATTTACTTTTTAGAGGTGTAAGAGTAACGAAAAAAGCGTAACCCGTTTGTATTTGTCACTATAACAATTACATAGTACTCGTTACTATCGTATCGTTATAACATGCTATCTTATCTTAGAGCATCGAATAAAGTCGTATTGCGTACGCGTACAGTATGACATCGTGGCGTCGCAACTTTCATAATTTGTAGAATACATATTTATACATTAACAAAACTTTGTCTACACACACAATACCTTTAATAAACAGTAAAATACCTTTTACGAACGACGAATTACCAAATTATACTTTCCTTAATAAACAAACATCGCTCTCTGTAACGTACCTACGTTTTTTGATTTACCGAATAAGCGTGCGCATGCGTAAAACATACGATCAGCAAATGTTTCAATACACGCATCAACGGTACTTGCGTGAACTGAAACAGTGTAGTTACCCATATTACGAAAAATGCATTCGTGTGTAACGTTTCGTTACACGGTACTAGATGGCGCACCCGTTACTCAGTACCGAATACATACGGTTTGCTTTTAGTACCTTATAACTAATTTTATTTCTTTACAATTAAAAAAATAAAGAAATGATAAGCATTAAATGATACACAAAAGTTGACGAAATAAATCCGAAAATGTAATGTGCTGCAATGAAGATAATTAAAAGTCATT